TTGCTATGTTTCACTAATTCAAACTGTGTGAATCAGCGGTCAACGTTACACATGGCATCAGCGGTATACGACGAGTGGACTCAACGAACGTCACTGGTGAGCCAGGCGCGACTCCGGAGACGTTAACTTTAAGACCAATACTATCGCGCTCGCAAGCTATCGAAGATTTAGTAGCAGGTGCGGGCAGCCGTAGAAGCAATTCCGGAACACAACGCACTGTCGTTGGGAGAAGGAGTGGGTGCACATCGTGCTACACTAGCAAGGCGGTAGAAAAAAATCATGGAAATTCAGAAGATGTCGCATGAACCGACGGAAGATCAGGGATTTGCATGATACCTTCTGTTATAATCCGCTTATACGCTGAAAAAATGATTTTTTTTCGGTTGTGTCGTTACGGATGGCAGAGAACAGTTGCTGTATGATGACTGAAAACTTAGGTTTGTTTTGGTCTTGTCAACGTGTGCAGTCGGAATAATCCGAACCCGCGGACACGACCGAATTCTCTTTCAACTCATCTCGCCACAAACTCTCAACTCATTACGTGTCATTGTTGTTTTTTATCGACAATTATCTTGCTTATGCTTACTGCGGATTGTATTGGATTGCATCAATAGCTACTCACTGGAATGTCGTTTCCAACGGTTGATGCCTTACAATTCAGATAAAATGTCAGCCAGTCCATACCGGTGCTGTTTTGTTGATAACAAAATTTAAGGGAGACAGATAACTGCTGGTGGAAAAATATCAAAGAATTACGGAGACACGCGCCATGCGGCAATATGAAAACCAAAAGTGATATTTTGAGGACTATAAAATGAGGAACTAAATTATTCACTCAAGGGAAGGCTTCATGATCTTCAGAATTCGCGCAGTCCGCTCTTACTGTGGTATGTTGAATGTGAATAGAATTCTCACATTGTTTGCATAAATTGGAGTCCATGGGCGTTTAAAGGCAGAGACTGCAAACAGTCGAGGAAGAAACTGTAAACTTACGTTTTTCCTGTCCACGAAGACGTAACTCGGCGTCGCTCACATCGACTTTGAGGATGTCAGCAAGATATAGGCCAGGCATCGACAGGCTCAAACAACATATTAGAAATTCAAACGGGAACTCATTTCATTTTCAAGGCGAAATGACATTTTTCCCAGACAAATGCAATGTTTACACCCAACTATGGTTAGCGCTGAGTTTGAGAATCACCACTCTGCTGTATTCAGCTCCGCAAGCAGTTAAACTGGTGGCAGAGTTCGCGATCCATCGCGTGATCCACGCAAATCGCGTGACGGATCGCGGACTCTGACGCCAGCCTTAGATCTCATATCATTTAAACTCGTTGTGGTGGACTCATCAAGCCATTGAATTTTGAACATTTGGCAGCCAATGGCTACATATTGCCCTGATGGAAACAATTGGTGCATCATATGACACTCCTTGTCTCCTAGTAACAAGTAAATTCAATCTAACTTTTGCGCGACGCAATATCTGTCAAGGGGAAAACTTTGAAACAATATCCTGCACAGAAGGATAACAGAATCATAGAAAAAAGCTTGTCTGTTATACGCTTACTACACTGTTATCTCAGAGAACTAAAACGAAAAAATTAATTTTTAGTCGAATGAAAAAATTGATTCTGTAGCTAAATGTGAGCTGTTAAAGCTAAAGATCAACCCACCCCTGACTTGCAGCGAACACAGCCACTTTGCTCCTCACAGCATAGTTTGAGGCTAATTTGGAGAACGCTGCAATATCCTTCGTCTTTGTGATGTCGAAAAATATTAGCGCAGGTCTGTCCATAGAAAGCACGGTGAACACAGCTTCGAAACCTTTGAGGTGATGCTAAAACGACTTGTAATAATGTATGCGTGAAAAGTCCCTCAACTTCCCATTGAAAAAAAAACTTACGACTGAGGGATGTTGATTTTCTTTGATGAACTCCACCATGTTTTCATAGGTCATCTCCTCGTAAAGAGTATTTGCTTTTGAAATTTTCTCGAGCGGCTTCATCGCGACGAAAGCTGGTTGATGAGCCCTGCAAAATTTAAGCACCTTCCATCAACACTTTATGAGCACACACATACTATATTCATAGCTTGCAGGGTGTATGTCATATAGCGCGGCCCATCGCAACCACTTTGCCAGTGAGACAATAGCCCTTATTGATACTTCCGCTCCGCTCTTCTCTTGACCTCGCCCTTATCACCCATACCCCAGGCTTTCGTGATCGGACAGTACGGTGAAAATCAGGTTTGGGTGTGGGGGGGGGGGACACTGTTTGTATCTCCAATAGTCGAGATAAGAATGAGAGTGATCGACTCATTTGAAGCGTACTCCTGGTATGTATCGGTGTAATTTGGAAAAAATCCTAAGGCTTTCACATTTTCGCCTACCATAGTCTAGGGAGACGGCCCGAATCAGGGGAATAGAGATCTTTGCAAAGGGCTAAGGGTGCAGGAGCTCCAGGGTGGATCACCTGTGCAGAAAAGTGGATGGGATGTGGGCAGGTAGTGTGGAATGTAGGACATCCACCGGTCCTTATCAAAAGTACGCTCGAAATGAGTCGTTCACTTATTATCTTATCCGTAGTGTTCGATAGCCCAAAGAACTGTTCTCTCGTAGAACGAATGAGATAACAACCCCCTCCCCCAAACTGGATTTTCACCGGTCAGTACATATTATTCGTCAGAACAGATGCTGAATTGCTTCTCAGTCTGGTACTCATCCACTTTTCTTAGCTCATGAAATTTCGTAAGCTTCTTTGAAAATTGCGTATGTTTAGTTCTTGAAACTTGAATTAGACTAAGGGTAAAAATAGTCGAAAAAATTGGGGTGAACAATCAGTAACGAGTTGCGCAAGCACTTTGACGTCTATGCACTGCACTCCAACGTAGACCATCAATTACAGTATTTGGCAATTCGGGGATCTGGACCAACCAAGGTATGGCCGGAACGGAGGTGGCAGTTGCACCCATTTGCCATATTAACGATG